CTTTATTATATTCTATATATAAGTTCCTTATCAGGTATACAATTTGCAAATATTTTCTTATGCTGTGGGACAGTCTTTTTAAAAGACCTTTCTTGGGGCAGCAGAGTGGCTGTAGAACAACTGCGTAGCAAGCATGAGGCTCTAAGTTCAAATCCCAGCACCACAAAAAGTAAGTAAGTAAATAAATAAACAAAAAAAACTTTCTTAATGGTGTCCTTTCAAGGGCAAAAAATTTTAATTTGGGGCTGGAAGTGTGGCTCAAGTGATAGAATGCCTGCGTAGCAAGTGGGAGGCCCTGAGTTCAAAGCTAAGTACTAAAAAAAAAGATTTTAATTTGGATGAAGTCCAATTTATCTAAATTTTTCTTTTGTTGCTCATGCTTTTGGTGCTATTTCTAAGAAACTGGTGCCAAACACAAGGTAAATGTAGATTTATCTTAGTGGTAGTTCTTATGTTTAGTTCTTTGATCAGTTTTGGGGAGGCAGGAGTCAAACACAGGGCCTCTGTCACTTAAGTCACGTTGTCAGCCCCTTTGATCTGTTTTTGAGTTAATTTTTATATATGGTATGAGAAAATAAGGACCCAATTTCATTTTTTCCTCTGTGGCTAACTAGTGGTCCCGGCACGATTTATTAAAAAACATTCTTTCTCCCATTGAATGGTCTTGGCACCCTTGTCACAAGTATTGGTTTATTTTTGGGTTTGCTACTCTGTACCACTGATCTGTGTCCATCCTTGTGCCAATAGCACACCACCTCTATTATTGTTGCTTCATTTAAGACTTAAAATTGGTTAAGTGTGAGTTCTCTAAGTTCTTTTTCAACATTGTGCTGTCTGTATAAGGGTACCCTGTACTTCCATATGAATTTTAGAATCAGCTTGCCAATTTCTACAAATAGGTCAGTGAGGCATCCAGTAAGGACTACACTGAATCTGCAGATCAATTTGGAGTGTATCCTATTAACTTTAACTCTTCAGTTCATGAACATGGGCTGCCTTTTTCTTTCTTTCTTTTTAGTTAGTACTAGGGATTAAACCCAGGGTCTTGCACCTAGCAAGCATTTCACTACTTGAAATACTCACCTAGCATTTTTGTTTTTGAGACAGGGTCTTGAAAACTCTGCCAGGATTGGCCTCAAATTCATGATCCTCTTCTCTCCACCTGGAATAGGATTAAAGGCATGCACCACCACATGTGGTTGCTTTTGGTTTTGTTTTTTTGACACAGGGTGTCACTTTTTAGCTCAGGTTGTCCTTGAATTTACTAGGTAATCCAAGCTGGTCCTTTTTCCTCTACCTCTCCAGTGCTGGGATTACAGGAATGTACCACCACATCTGCATGAGGTTTACAGTAATTCCTTTACAGTAATTTCCTCTTATTCTCAGGGAGTATATCCCCAGTGGATGCTTGAAACCAGGATAGTACCAAATCCTATATACTAAGCTTTTTCCTATATGATAAATTTTAATTTATAGATTAGGGATAACAAGAGATTAACAAAAACTAATAAGGCAGAACAATTATAACAATATTCTGTAATAAGAGGTATGAATTAATTTTGTAATTTTCCATTTAATATTTTGGGTATACGCTATGGGCAACTAAAAACAGAAAGCAAAATCATGGGTAAGGAAGGATTACCATTTTAAAGTAAAACTACACACAGTCTATAAATTAAAGCCCTCAGCATCTCTATTAGCAAACTGTGTACATGAAATTGTTCCCTATTGCTTAGCCAAACATTTCCTATTTATTTAAAACTCAGAAGATGCGGAACTTTACATGTCAGGCTATTTATTAAGTAATACCAAGCTTTCAAATCAATCTAAAGAGTTTACTGTATCATTTTCCATGAGAATTTTTTTTGGTTTTTTTAATGCAAGAGAAATTTAAAAATTAAAGAGTTAGACATTCTTTTCTGATGCCTATGTTTCACTGTGTTTAGTTCAGAGTACAAAATTCCTCCTTAAATCCCTTTCTCAATTTTGAGAGGAAAATAAAGCAGGAATAAGAAAATTGATCATCATTACTGGTATCTATTCATTTGAAGCCCACATAGTATTTAAAATACCCTATTTAATCACACATAATCCTTTACACATTACCTGGGCAATCATCTCAGCTCTATGTTGACTAGCTATAATCACTAGTGACCCTAATCCTAAACAAATCAATTCTAAATCTTCCAGAATCATACTAGAATAGCTGAAAAACTAAAAACTAGACAAGGGAAAACTGGTTGTTTTGCCATTTAGGAAATTAATATTCTTCTGGCCTATATTTTCATTTAGTTGCCAGGCCAATGTGCATTTTGTATCTATGCAAATACCTAGAGTTAGGCTACTAACTCTTTTAAGAGTTCACCTGCAGGGCGCTAGCAGGCCAATTGTTCTTGTTCCCTAAGAAGTCAAATCTAAAACTCTGGCTATGTCACTATATTAACAGACCAGCTGTGTTTCTGGACTTAATCAAGCATCACACACAACCCACTGAGCAAGGAAACCATCCTTGACAAGTCACCAGACATTTGTTTCACTACTTTAAAGCCTAGTGCTGTTTCTCTTCCACACCACATTGCCTTTTCAAAAAGCTTCTCCAAGTATCAGCCTATCCATTGACAGTCCTGAGACTTCATACTTCAAACATTAGGTAATAAGGAATTTTTGCCAGGCTCTCACACAGCAATCTCAGGATTTTTAGCACGTATCTAATATATTTTAATGGAATAGTACACAAAACTCTTGAGATTCTTATCAAATAAGAAATAAACATGAAAACTATCTACATGAAGTAGCTCACGTTAGAATGTATCATAATCCTCGAGAAATTCTTACAGGAAGAAAATTTAGATGCCTTTAAGTTTTACAAAATTACCCGCAACAGTGGCACACACTTATAACCCCAGCGCTCAAAGGCAAAGGCAGGAGGGTCACAAGTTCCAGACCTGCCTGTCCTACACAGAAGACCGTGTCTCCAAAAAATAAATAAAAAATGTTATAGAACCAGAAATGTGTGGTCTAATGTACAAAGATAACACATTATATACAAAGATACACAAGATGACTTCAAAACACTTGAAGAATTCTAAATCTCGTTAGTTTTATCACATTCCAATACTTTACAATGTATAAGGTACATACCACGTACATTTCAAATTATTTACCAGAACACTCTTTTAAAACCACCATCCAATTCCTTAAACTCTCATTCTGAGTTTAAGATCTTCCAGAGCTTATTCGATTATGGATTATAACAACATCTAGGCTATCACCTTGCCCAAAGAGACTTTTTAAATTGAATTCTAGGCAAATGCATACTGAAAACAGTTTGCAGGAGGGAAGACATCAATGAAACATCCAACACAGCTTATGTCAAATCACACAATTTACATTATAAGTCTCTGGAAACAGAACAAAGACACAAGAGATCTGGTATTAGTAAACAGCTCAGAAAGAAACTGAAGACCAGGTGTAGTGGTACAAGCCTGTAATCCCAGCACTCAGAAGGCTGAGGCAAGGCTGAATGTGAGACCTGCCCAGGCTACCTAGTGAGAACTTCTATCAAACACAAAATGAAACAAAACCAAAAGAAAAAAATAAAAAGGGAAAAGAAATAGAAACTCCAATGCCTCCTCCCCCAGAAAAGGCCTGTAAGGACCCAGCTAACGCCTTTCAAACATATTATTTCATACTGTGAACTATGAGTTATGAATATGCCATTTGTAGCCAAAAAACACAAAAACTAGGCGAAATGCAAACGTGGCTATGATATCCTGTCTTGAAATAAACACTACAGTGTTATGATAAAAACTATAATGCTTTGGGAGCAAAGAAAAGGCAGTCAGACCTGAGTATGAACAAAGTTCTTTTTTTCTCACTTTGTTTCATTCAGCTTTCTTCAAGCAGTCTAAACTGTAGAGGAAATATCTGTTTTGTTTTAGGGAACAGAGGAGTTCTGAGGGATGGAGCTGTAGCTCAAGTGGTAGAGCTCCTGCCTACCAAGTGTGAGACCCTGAGTTCAAACCCCACTACTTCCCCCCTACCCCCAAAAAACCTAGAAGAGTTCTGAAAAATGGAGAAAATATTAAGAATTAAGTCTTATAGTACACATGTAAGTATCATTATGATTTTGAAGATTTTCATTGCTTTAATAACTGCTAGATTGGACTATATGCTGCTATCAGAGTATCATAGTCTGAGGCCAGCCTGGGCAAAGTTTGTGATATCCCATCTCAACCAATAACTGAGTGCGGTGCTGTACTTGTCATCCCAAGCTAAGCAAGAGGCTGAGACTGGGAGGACTGTAGTTCCAAGTCAGCCTTGGGAAAAAGTTTGGACGACTCTCAACTCAACAGGAAAAAAAATAAGTTAAGCATGGTGGCATGTGCCTGACTTCTCAGCAACAGCAGACAGTATAAAATAGGAAGTTCATAATCCAGGTTGGCCTGGGTGAAAAATGAGACCCTATCTTCAAAATATCCAGAGCCTAGAGGCATGGCTGAAGCAGAAGAATGCCTATCTAGCAAGTGCGAAGTCCTGAATTCAAAGCCCAGTACCTCAAAAAAAAAACAAAAGAAAATACATACACATAAAAGCTGGGTGTAGTGGCTCACTCCTTACTCTAAGTGCAGCATTCAGGAAGCCAAGCTGGAAGATCACAAGTTCAAGACCAGCCTGGACTACATAGTGAGACCCTGTCTCAAAGCGCATGTATACACACACACACACACACACACACACACACACACACACAGGTTAACGCATGACAACTGCCCTATCATATAAATGTTTCAGGTAACTGTCACTAATTCCACAGAGAAATAGTATCATCCCAGGTACTTTTGGTCTAAGGTTAACTTGATCCACACACCTGAATTTTACAGTGTCTGATCCACACTAACCCATTTTACCTAACTTCCTCAGGAAATTACCATCAGTAGAAACCTCAAATAAAGACAGTACTATCACACAGAATTTGCAGCTCAGCAAGACCTACATACCGGCAAGTCCACACTAACATCAGTACCATCCAGAAGGGACACCCGACAGGTGATGATGGACTTAGCATCTCCAGCTGCAGGAATGTGTGTGGCGGCCCGCTGCGCCTCTCTGAGCCTTTCCTTCTCAGCATGTTTACGCATGGACCGCCGCCCAAGAGTTCTTCGGAGGAAACTCAGCATTTTTGTCACTGTAAAACCAGAGAGAAAAAGATGACATCAGTAAAGGAAAATGACATTATTTAGTAAAGTCCTGTGGAAATTAATTTGAAAAAAAAATTAAAATTGGCTATTTTATGTTTTAAAATAGGCTGTATAAAACAAATACACAATCTTGTCAATTAAAACTAAATTTATTTTTAAAAACTGGCTACTTTCATTCAGAGTTTTTAAAGACTTTATAGGAAGCTGATTTGGCAGGAGACAGCAAACATTCATGAAGGTCATCAAGACTTTTGGATCAATAAATTATATGTAAAATAGCTGATTATCCCTACAAACATTAGACAACTGTCAGACAACAGGAAAGTATACTTTGTTGATTGTACTGATCCTGAGAAGTTCTGCTTTTTTTCTGAGTAATCATGATTATAATCATCTATTTCAGCTAAAACATAAGTTTTTTCAAATATTCTAGGGCAGATTTTAAATTACTACTTAACATAAACCTTTGTAACATCAAATTATTTGTTACTTACTTCCTCATCTCTATTAAGAAAAGTAAAACAAAACAGGAACTAGTTATTTAAAAATACAGCACATTATATTTGAAAAACCAAATAAGATGTTGAATGCACAAAAAACAGAAACATCGTAAAAACAAAAGTTATTTTGTTTTTAATGTGTTTAATTTGCACAACTAAGACTTTAAGTACATATAACTAAAACAAATTTTAAAAGATAATTCTGGAAAAAATTAAGTTGTATAGAAAGAGAAAAACAATCACAGCACACTACACTACTCAGCTGCTAAAAGTTGAAATGGTTATAAAACTATAAAGACTAAATAGTGATCTCACCATAAAGTAACTATAATGAGAAGTATATAACAGATTAGGGGAAAGAAGTGTGCAGATCACCTGCCAGCAGCTCAAAAATAATTCCTAAAATTAATAATCACAAAGTAACAAAAAGAACATGTGACTTAAAATGTGGAAGTGGCTGCCTAGGAGGGAAAGCAGTGGAATTCAGGAAAGTGCTATTTTTCAAAAGAAGCCTTCAAATTAGATAATTTTTTTGACTAAATATATGTATAAATCTGATTTTTAAAAAGCTAATTTTGGAACTGGGTGCTGGTGGCTCATGCCTCTAATCCTAGCTACTTGGGAGGCTGAGATTGAGAAGATAAAGAGGTTAGAGGCCACCTAGGCCATCCCATCTCTAAAATAACCAGAGCAAAATGAACTGAGCTGTGGCTCAAGCAGGAAAGTGCTGGCTTTGCAAGCACTTACCTTGCAAGCACGAAGCCCCAAACTCAAACCCTAATTCCATCAAAAAAAAAAAAAAAAAAAAAAAGCCAATTTTAAGATAAACGCTATCATATTAAAATGTAAGTTAACTATTATACACATTTTACAAGTATGTATACTCCTGCGTAATTAGGTAAACTAATCCCAAAGAAATAACTACAAACTGAGCTGATTACTAGTTTGCAAAGTACCTGGTCCCAGTTGCTCTCCCTAGGTTTTTCCAGGCATTGCTCATTGCTCCTTTTGAACCTTGCTATTCTACTCAGTCACCGCAGCTGCCCTTTGTAGGATGTACTTGTTATCCCAGACTTCTAAAGCCCTTATGTCAGTGAATCTTGCAAAAAATTTCCCTAATATCTAGAGAGTTTGGCATTCCCGTCACACTTCCACTGAATCTTTTATTGTTTAATCAGATTATAATTACTAATTTGCATGCCTGTCTCCTTTACTGTAAGCAATTTGAAGACACAATCCCTACTTTTAAGAAGCTAGCTACCCATCACAATTCATAATTCTGGAACAACCAATGTTTAGTACATAATCTTATCTATTCCTAAGAAAAATTCACCAGGTATTGTCTTATTTTGGTAAGTAAACTAAGAGTTAGAGAAATTAAACCATCGGCAGAGTCTATTTAATAAATGGTGAATACATGGGCTCAAACTCTCATTTTCTAACCTCAAATTTGGTTTCTCTAAAATGCAATTCATGTAAAACTTGCATTTTAGAGCTAAGAAAATTTAAAGATTGTAACTAAAAAGATGCTGAATAAAAACACAGACACAAAAACACAAATGATAAATTCATTTTTTTCAGACTTAATTCGCTTTTATTCAGCAAGTAAATTCCAAGGGGGAAAAAACAGAAAAGGAACTAGACAGTAAAAGAGACTTAAGTCTAGGCATATAGCTCAGACACAGAGGGTGTGATTAACATGTGTGAGGCCCTGGGTTCAATCTCAAGCAGAGGGAAAGGGAGGGAGAGATTAAAACTCTTTATCGATAATAGTATGTGAGCCTCTTTTGGATCCTCATTCAAATAAACTATATTTTAAGAGTTCTCAGATGCTATTATTGGGGGAAGCTAAGTAAACTTCACCATGTACGTAACATCTACATGTGTCTAAAACTATTTCAAAATAAAAAGCAAAAAAGTCATACATCCATTGCTATGTATATAGTTCATTAAATCCTTCATATCTTTTAACCTGGATTCATTTATAAGCCTGATTTTAAAAAAAGACTAAAATATTAAACACATTTTAAAATTCAAATAGCTATGAAGATTACCATCATTCTCATTTTACAAGTATACATGCTCCAGTAAAATCAGGTAAATTAGCAAATCCACTGCAGCTGTCACTTCAACTGCCCAAGGAAATAAATTATACACACACACACTCTTGAACACTGACTAGACTGCTTATGATAGGCAAGAAACTATTCCCACCTTTCTTGTAGATAAAGCACTGGTATTAAAGTTATGTTTTTAAAAAAATAAAATAAAAAGGTTCTTATGTGATAGAGATACATACTGATATATTTAAAGAAGAAAAGATTTTATGTCTGGTATTTGCAAACTAACACAAGAAAGGGAGTTAAGTCTGGACAGAGATGAATCAAATAGGCCTAACAATTAAAACTGGGTGATGGGTGTATGAAGGTTTATAATGTACTTTCACTTTTGTGTACACTGAATTTTTTCCACAAAAGTATCTTTTTTTTTCCCCCTGGTGGGACTGAAGTTTGAACTTGGGGTTTCACACTTGCAAAGCAGGTACTCTACCACTTTAGCCACACCTCAGTCCATTTTGCTCTGGTTATTTTGGAGATGGGGTCTCAGGAAGTATTTTCCAGGCTGGCCTTGAACTTTTTTTTTTTTTTTTGTGTGGTACTGGTGTTGAATTCTGGGCTTCATGCTTGCTAGACAGGTGCTCTACCACTTGATCCAGTCCACCAGCCCCGATTTTATTTCTTTAAAAAAGCTTTTCTTTTTTTCTTTATTTACTTATTTAGTGATAGTGAGATATGAATTCAGGGTCTGGTTTTTTGTTTTCCATTTTTGCGGTGCTGAAGTTGGAACTCAGGACTTTCATACTTGCTAGACAGGCGCTCTACCACGACAGTCAAGTCATGCCCCCCCCCCCGTTTTTTTTTGATTTTTGTTTTTTTTTGCTTTAGTTATTTTTCGGATAGGATCTCACAATTTTTGCCCAGGTCCAGCCTCACACCTCGGTCCTCCTATCTATGCCTCCCCATCAGTGCTGGTACCACAGTTAGGAGCAACCATGACAAACTGGTTTGTTGAGATGCCGTCCTACTAACTTTTTGCTCAGGCTAGCCTCACATCACAAACCCCCAGATCTCTGCTTCCTGAATAGCTGGGATTACAAGTATGCAACACCATGCCTGCAATAAAAGTTTCTTATAGGAAAAAAATGTTCAGAATGCATTATACTTGTGGAGTTCCTAGAAATTTATAAAATGATCTTTTCTGACTTTTACTTATTCCGACACCTTGAAAACAAATTCACTGTATGAGTTAACCTAGTAAGAAAAAACACCTGTCTCTCAGATTTAGAATTCTAATAAGTGTACAGTTTGAGTCACAAAACCCAGTATCACAAAAATAAGTTCTTTTTTACAGAAATATAAAAGCACTTTACCTGAAAAATAAATTACAAATGGGTTAAAGATTTAAAGTGAAAAGAAATGAGAAAACACTAGAGGAAAACAAATAGTAGTTAGGGTGAAAGACTTTTAAGTAATTTCCTGTCGAAAGTATTTTTGAAGAATTAATATGCAGTTTAACAAACAGCTATTACATATCACTTAGACAAACAACCAAATGGGGGAAAAAATTGGGCAAGATATGAGGAAACAAGTCCTTAAAGAGAATATAAAAAGATTCATAAAATAATACCAGCATTTGGGAGATGAGGAGGAGGATCTTGAGTTGCCGACCAGCCTGGGCTACACACGAAGACACTATCTCAGCAACAAAAATATTCATGAAAGATGTTTATACAAGATGTCTAAGAGTAACAAAGAAAATCCAAGCTGAAGAATAAAATAGGGCTGGGCATGTGGCTCAGTGGTGGTATGCTAGCTTAGCATGAGGGAAGCCTTAGATTAAATCCCTAACCCTGCAAAAACAAAAATGTCCAGCAAGGTGATAATGTGGTATGAGCCTATAGTCCCAACAATTGGGGCAGCTGAGACAGAAAGATAGTTTTAGCCCAAGGGAACATAGGTAGGTGTGTAGGGGTATGTGTAGAGGGATGTGTGTGTGTGTGTGTGTGTGTGTGTGTGTGACTGTCACTTAAAAGATTCAAGATAGTCAATGTTAAAAAGATGGAAGAGACTAGCATCAGAGAGGCACAAGGTTCAATCCCCAGCAGTGAGAAAAAAAGTGGGAAAAACAATCACTTTCATACACTGTCCTCTTTGAACAAGCTATTAAAAACTGAACATGCTATTAAAGGTTTAATGTGCACTTTCACTCAGCAATTCTATTTCTGGTAGGATAGCCTAAAAAAATTGTCACATATGGGCTCTGAGTGGTAGGAACAAGGATTTTGCAGGGCCTAATTGACTTAATACGTCTATCAGCATGCAAAGAGTTAAATGAGTTATGGTACGCACAATGTTATACAATAGAGTTGTTTATTTTGTTATTACAAAATTTGTATGTGAAAAAAAAAATGTGTAAGTGAAAA